GGCCGGCTGTAATAATACTGCTATTATATAGGTACTTTCAGTTATAAATAACACAATTAGGACGAATAATGATCAGATTTATGTAAAACATACTTATTAAGAATTTGTTACGCTCTCATTAATTACAATTATTCGGTTCTAACATGCGGAATCATGTGGACACATTTATTCATGTTATACCAAGTTGAGGACTCGTTAATAACCCACCCGGAGCTGTGGAGAACGTAACGGGTTACCGGGGCGCTGGCTGGAAGCAAATAAAATAGTAACCGAGGGGTTTTTAGTCAGTTAAAGTCTGGCACTCTCCCTCACCCCTTACTCAAGTCGAGAGAAGGATAGAGATATGATGTATGATTTTTTCCCCCTCAAAAAAGGACCGTTTAGTGACAGACTTGACGTTTCAATAAAAATACATACAAAAGTATTGTTTTTCCAGTCTTTGATAAGTTAAACAATATGTCAGTAATATTATACATGACAATACAATTTCCGTGAAGGGCCGACGTGTTCTACTGTTTCGTGTAGTCACTTAGCTTTTTACGATAGCGTTGAAACATCACATTGGAAGTGTGTCGTCCGTGATGTAGTTTTACAGCTGTCGGCGACTTTTGACTGAATCATCACTATATTTAATAGTCACCTCTAAAACTGTCAGTCACTCACTGGATCTTCTTACAGAATTAAAGTCTACGCGTTGATTGCGTCACATTACAGATCCCATAATTCACAGAGAACACGAATTGCATACAAATCAATGCAAACAATTATATCCAAAAAGGGTCAATTGTTAAAATTTACAACAAATCCAACAAAATAACAGTGACCTTCAGATTCATATTGACAAAAAGTTAACGAAATAATGATAACGAATAATAGAGTTTGAATGCTGTTATCAATCTTTCTCTCTCCTTCTCTTGATAAATGTTTGAATTTTACCAATAAGAGAGTAGCCAGATGTTCAACGTCGTCGGAATTGATTGGTAACATAATATCATACACTAAGTTGTCTAATTAATTTGTAATTACATCTGCATACTGCCAGCTGCACATTATACTTCGACGGACGATACTCAGAATTAATATCAATATGTCAAGAAACATGAGCTTGCTTGTTAATGTACCTACAAGACAGTCTACTCCAGGAAATGTATCTAATATACATTACAGGTTCTGGTTATATTTTTATATTCCATGTTCTAGGTGAAAAAAATCCAAAATACTTGCACATTCGTTCAATACTTAAACTTAATCTTAAAAACCTAAATCTCCTCTCCTTTTTTGTTGAGTTCCTTATGTCTTGTTCATTTATTCGTAATTTAGTACGCAGGTACTTGATATTGATTACTGCATTCACCATAACTTAAGGTGTGCAGTATATGTACATATATATTTTTGGTTTACAAAGCCAAATGTCGCATATAAAGGCCAGCGTTCGAAGGTCGAAGCCTTGTACCACGAGTCTCGTTATAGCTGCTTAGAAAATATATATATATATAATTATTTACTTTCTTTGCAATATTTATATGAATATAATTTTGCAGATAGTAGTTCAAATGCTACTTGCAAATTGTAAGAATTGGTTCTGTACTAGGAAAATATAAATTAATGATTTCGCAAACTGACAAAAAATTATATACTTTTCTATTTCTCAAAATGGTTTCCATTACGCGAATGAAATTAATTAAGAGAGTCATATTATTTCCGTAACTAACTGAGTCTAGTAAAAGGATGATGGCATGGTTGTGAACATTCCTAGTATCTTTTTTACCGGGAAACTCTATTAACAGCTGTTTCAAAAACTTTGTGCGGGACTGCTTCGCATTTCTCCGAAGTCTTGATCCATGTAGTGTATGACAAGTTATTTTAAGTTTTCAAACCCATATTTTAAATTTACTTTTTACTTATAATCTGAAGAAATTACTAAGCAGATCACATATAATTAATTAATGGACAGTGCCCCTAAATAAAATAGTCATTGGTTTGGTTCTTATTTTCTACATACAAAAAGACACAGAACAAAGTCTGTAGGGCAGCTAGTACAAAATAATAACCTAGAAAGGAAACGAGAAAACAAACATACTACAACATTAAATCATCGTCTGCTACGCCGTAGCCGGTGCTACGTCACCCGCTACGAATCGCTACGAATTGTTTAAGCGGCTAGAAGATACTTTCAACTTGATTTATGTGCTGATGAAAGTACCATGAAACGTGTTATTCATATTGATGTCTCCAGCAAACATATTTGTTCAGAAACACTGTTGCGTGTTGAACTCTGTGGTCTGTTTGTCATGGAAATATTTTTAAAACCTTTCTCACGTGAGTGATATTTTCCTCAAATCTCACGAGAGTTCAACATTATTCGATGTGTCGAGGTTTTTTTCACCGTTGAAATCATAAATATAAGAATTGAAATGTTTAAGTACATATAGAAAATGGATTACATGTAATATCTATAGTTCAAGTATGTACTTTAATAAGAGAAACAAAATTCTTAGAACCTAAAAAGAAAAGACATTCATATTTTTTATTTTATTTTTTTATGCTGTCGGGCAAGGGGTCTCGGGTTCGATTCCCGGGCCCCTCGAAAATTCTCGGTAGTAGTAAGAAGTCTAGAAATGTGCCCGGTATATGGCAATAGACTCACTCCCTATTACATGGAACTCATAACATGAATAGTGAAAATTGTGTGTTACATTGGACGGTGGCATTAAGTGCCGTAATATCCACCTCTTACCCCTTTGGGGATAAAAGGCGTGATGTTATGTTATATTGAGGAAAGTAGGTATTAATTAGAATTATTAGAACACCATTGTCGTCGCTCACGAAGGTACTCGAACCTAATACTGACAGACAGCGAACAACTATCGTCTCACCACACAGTTCATTTGTTACACCCCCACAAAGCACGTCAAAGAACGTACTTCGTCAGCTTCATGTATACCGTCATTCATCATGACAACGGATCCGTCTATTTACATACCCAGACGTCACAAGTAACATTACCTACGCAGAAACGTCTCATTGGTCGGGCTATGTGACAGTCCCTCGGATCACGAATATTCAAATGCAATTCTTATATCGCAATCTTGAGTTGATGATTGTAAAAGATTAAAGACAACAAGCTTTCCCACTACATTTTTAAAAATTCATAAAATAACCGAATCAAGAACCTCACTCAATATTAAAAACAACCATATATTATGCACAGAACACAAGCTCACACTTTGTACACGTTTGCATTGTTGAATAAATTCCAAGCAATCATCGTGCGCTGCATACGATACAAATTCGCTACAGTAATCTAAAGAAGTGCCTGTATATTGCTCCTCACGACTGATTTACGCGACCGACGCGGCGACGACGCCAGCGCACTAAGCAAATCAGCCTTACATCCTATCTCAATTTAGTCTCAACGAGTAGGTGGCACAAACTATGTGTAGCTCACTGGACCAAGCTTCCTCTTGCTTTGGATGAACGTCAGTGGAGTATTGAGTATCGACGTTATGTATGCCGCGTACTTACCTAAACCAGAAATTTAGAGCAGTGCGTGCCTATGCATAGTTGCGCGATTACTGCGGCGAAAGCGATATCGATTTAAGACTGAAACTATTTTATATTAGATTTGAACAAAAACTCGTCTGGTGGCTTACTATTATGCTTAACCAGTTGTTTTATACATGACCGAAAGTGCTTCATGAATGTAGTAATACAAACGAAACTCAGCCTTTAGCTGTGCGGCGGAAGCCGAGCTTATTTGGCGTCGGCCCTTGATATTAAATAACTTCGGAAGGATCGCCCCCGCATCGCCCTTGAAGGCAGGGAGCCGCTGAGTGGTTGGGCAAAGCCAAGTGTCACGCCGAACGGTTTTTAAAGTTGTTTCTATAGAATAGACACCGTTTTATATTAGCTCTTGAAAAAACATCATTTTCAACAGTATTCGTTAGAGTTTAAAAACAATGTATTCATGCGGATGTATTGTCTTCTGGCAAGAAGACATTGATACAGATGAATAGTGATAATATTTACATAGGTATTCATAATATTAAACACAACCAATTCGAGTGCGTTATGCATTCGGTAATCATTAAACTGGCTATTAACCGGGCTTATTGGATTTGTTTGTTTAGTATTATAATGGTGGTATTTATATTGGTATGGATAGCCTGGCGCACACTGAAACTAAAACTTGTGTAGGTATGTGTACTCAATAGTATAATTTATAAAAGGATATATTTTGAAAATGTTACGTATACACTAAAAACCAAAAACAGGCGAACTTCCCATAGGTACCGCATGCATACTTAATGTCGTGTTGTTATAAATGTTGCATGTTCAAGTAGATTTAGCCTAGACTGTATGTTTTATGAGTAGATCACTTACTGTTTACATCTATGTTATCATCCTAGGTGAATAATTTGTCCAAAGTTATCTAGCTTCGCCTCCAGTTGGTAGCAATAAAACATAAATATATCCATAAACACATACACCAACTCATTAATACGCAGGTGCTTTATCAAAATTCAATCAGCAGCTATCGATCATTCAGAAAATCTCAATTTAAGAGATAAATATTGCGATTATTAACAGCCTCGCTTCTCTGTTGCTTACATTTATGTATATTTTGTCTTGAGTTACGGAAAACCTTCATCCATCGTATATTTTTCAATAAAGATTGGTTGTTTTGAGAAGCAGTACACCTACTACACCTTTACTGTGATATTGTTCAACTACACCCCAACTTTCATCTTAATATTGCGTTGCCTTCGTACATGCTATGAAAGGTGTCTGATGTTTTACGTAATTCATTGACAACATAAGCAACCTTTTCCATTACTATATGGTATGACCCCGATACCTTCTGAGCAGTTACAGAAACTAATGACGCTGCAAATACGTTAGAACTTAACTAAATTGAATATCCAAGTATAACAAAGCACACAAGTACACGGATTTTACTTTGATGGTCGTGCATTTTCTAAAGTATTTTTATGTTTTAGCTTAATCTGGAGCTGTCAGATCTACTGGCTGAGTACTCTAGGACTGGGGTACCGGACCTGAAAGGGTTCTGCATTGCAAACATCCCTGATGAAGCCTTCGAGTTCCTGCAGTGGGCTGAGAAGCCACAGAACTTGGAGGAGTTCATCGATTGGAAGAGTGAGTACCTTTTGCATTAATAATAAGAATCTTTTTATGTGAGCAAGGAAAGGGAATTGCCGGTGTATCGCAGTTCCCAAATGATAAAAACATCTGTCGTCACTCGTTTGCAACGCGCTCGCAGTTCCCGTAAAAGTTGAAAAGTGTTTTAGTGGGTCGGTCGTCAGTTTGTCGAGTGCTAGAGTGATTTCACAGAACGACAAAAATGTTGGTAGTTCAGCTAGATATTTTTTGTTTGTTTTTGTAGTTCTACACGCCGATTGATTTGCTGAAACATTCGATTGAGCATTTATAAAATTTACTTTGACGATTTTATTCTGAGAATCGAAATTTAATTGGACTTTCACTGGATCACACATTTTGTAATGATTGTAGTAGTAGATAAACTGCGGATTTTGTGTAGGTATGATAGAGGGTAACTAATGTAATAAACTTTGCAGATAGAACAACAAAACAACAGCCTTGTCGATTTATTCTTAATGCAGGAATGATTTGATTATGCCTAAAGAACTTGCTTTAGTACATAATTATACTGTTTACCGTCCCATCCACGAGACAGCCGCAATTAATTTACTGTAAATAATTTCTGCAATAAAGTACCTACACCCCATCATAAGGTTACGAGCTTCCATAACACGTAACAGATGGTAACTTGACGTCATTAGTCAATAGTTGGGTTCACTCGCAATTACTTGTATGGACTTATAGAAATTACAAGCATACCTACTTGGTTATTAACAAGAATCGCCCTAACTAGTGTTCATTGTGTAGGCACTATGCACTATGTATGTATCGAGTTCATGGTTTGTGGCAAGTGCAAATTACGTATGTATTTACACACTATTATGATAACTGTATAATAATAAAATTATTTTATTACATGAGCTTAAATAAATATGTGAGTTTACTTACAAATAGGCAACAATACTTTGTAATTGACTATAACTCTGTACAAGTATCGATAGATCTTGGCGCGAGCGCGCGGCGGAGGGAGGGCCGCGATTAATGGTTTCACTCCGTGACCCACTAACATATGCAATCGTGTACTTTACACTCATTACCCTCCTGATATTCAACATATCTTGTTGTCAAGCAGCTTACTTTCCTTTGCTATTAATATAACTATAGAGGTTTGCTATTAATATAACAGTGTTCGGTGGGATCACTTCAGAACTTCAATAACAATAATTTTAATGTTGTCATTGTTTGAATCAAAATAGTAAAAAGTTTCAAATGTGACTTGTTCGTTTTCATATTCAAACGAATCAACAGTCAATATGCTGTCACTGAATGAGTTAAAAATGCCGCAGTATTAGTTCAAAGTTACCGTGAGTAGGGTACCCAACTCTTCGCTGAAAGTTACATAGCAGACCGTAGGGTGCACTAAGCGAAAACTTACGAAGTCCCGAGTCTTATCTACGTGAAATAAGTTTCCGAATAGAGCAGAAAACGATACTTGCTACACTATTTTATCGTCATAATGGCTGTAAAATGGGAATCACTTACATTTTTGACCGCGTATTGACAGTATAATGATTGTGAGTATGATAAATAAATAGGTTTTCTTTATATTCAATGATAATTTATTTATTTATTTATTTAAATAGGTATACCAACAGCTTCTGTATACATAGTATTAAGAGATTATGAAAGTAACAATGTATTAGGCTTATACAGTCGCCAATTATAGGTTAACCAACATTTAATTACATATTAAAATTCATGTAAAATATTATAAACAATATCAGCTAGGAATGCAATGTCTGCGTCGAAAAATAAAGGTTGAACATTGTCAAATATCGTTGGTACAGGCGTGGGTAAAAGATATAAAAATACCATAAAATATTGCGCTTGTCTGTAACCACACATTCCAAACGTCTCGAGGTGAAATGAAAAATAGTTATATCGTGATTTTTCGTTCCAATACCGATTTTATTTGAATTCTAATATTTACGAAGTATAAAAAGTTCGCGTTCCAGTTAGGCTGGCACGTGTAGCCGGAATAGAACGGAGTGAACTAACCCTGAGTAAAACACTGAGTGAGATATTAAATAAATAATGCAATGACAAATATAACGTTTTATAACCCTTTCTCCGAAAAGGTAGGCACTAGGCACAAATATTTTAACACACATTTAACCTGATGTGTAAATAAATGACTTCTTATAGCCTTGTTCAATGTGTATCACAAATTCGATTTTTGTACTATTACTAGAAATGGAACGTTAGAGACAAGATGCTTAATAACTTGACTTCAATTTCAAATTCGAGATTTTATGATTGACAGTCGACCTCATAGGAAATGGATCAAAAGATGAGACCTCAATATGTAATAATATGTAATAATATAGTAAGACATTAATTAAAAAGATACACATGCAGTTTTCATTGATTTCCATCTTACATGGTATAGCTTACACGTAGCTTGATACACGTGTTGTGTACTCCTGATACGTTACGCGAATCGTCCGATAATTCCTTTTAACTGCAAACAATTAACTAAAATTAAATGTAGTGGTAGGAATACTTAATGTTTTTAACAAAAAACTATTAACTGTACAAATTATCTCTAAAGAAGGAATTATCCATACAAGTCGTGGGTAATGACTCCCTTGTTTATTTTTCATAATTATTATAAACATGTTTCAAAAAATCTTGTCCCCGTAAACCTGCCTTCAATTAAGCCTCGATCAAAACTGGTCAACATCCTATCATGGGAAAACTAATGTTTTTTGAAAGTTCGGATCAACAACATCATTTCGTACTTTAAAACATATTACGTATTATGTAATATTCATAAATGTTAATACGTTTCCTATGCGATGCGTCTCTTCAAACTTGACGTGGGTTTAACCTGATTTGACACTTCGCTGCAAATAACTTCGACTTAATTAAAGAATAATTTTGTTGCGGCTGTCGTTTATCCCAAATCAACCGAAATTATAGTGATTTGATTTGAGTGGCTGTGCAGGTGTAGGCTTTAAAATCAAAATTGTATATGGAATGAACATCTTACAGTGCCCATGTCAAACTTATGTGATACACGTATTATTGTCGCAATTATTAGCATGCATTTTCACATTTTTAAGTGTATAAGTAATAAAAACATTGTCGTCAACGGCCGTATCCCGACCCCAAACCACCTTTACTACGGCCTCATTTTTTCTAATACTCACAAAGCCTTCGAAAATTATACATTAAAACTTTCTTCGTGAATTACGTCGTCTAATGGTGAGAAGTGTATAATAATTGGTTCAGTCTTTTTCGTTCAGTATAGTCTTAGCATACATTATATTTTGGTACAAAAGTGCATCGCGATTTTTTTATAATAAGATTTATTGAAGTTATTTTATACATACATCCCATTCAGAGAACTGTGACTTTGACCCATTTTTAGGGACTTTGTCGATGTACCTAATTTTATACAGCATGTATACATACCTGAGTAAAGAAACCGAAATTGAAAGCTTATTACGCTTTTCATTTATAGATATTGCTGTTGATATTTCGGTTAATTGTAGATACTAAGTTTATTTGATCTATCGAATTATAAAAGATCAAACAATAAAGATAGACACAAATAATGGAGACGAAGTTATTTCTAGGGGATTTGTAAATATCTACCCCAAATAAAGCCCTCCCAAGACAATACCCAGATCTCCGAAGGACAGTTTATTGCACAAGAAAAGTGATGACTACAATAACCGCACCTTTAGCGGCTCATTATATTAGTTAGGATGATTTAAAGACGAATAGCGTCGACTAACAAAATTGCGAAAGAAAAATTAAATGAATCATGACTACTTTTGACATACAAAAAGAAATATAACTCCCATTTACTACCGCAAAGGTTTCTGACACGACTTATTTAAATTGCATTTGTAGAAGGCCGCTTCGCTTTGTTGCGGTAATGTGCGAAGGGTCGGCTTAAAGCCGCTGGGCTTGCCCTGCCGCGCGGCGTGCTCGGCGCGCTTACAGCTTGTTCACGCTGACAAGCGGGCGCGAGTGCGGTCGCGTAATACCAAACATATGACACGACATGCAAGTGTTCGCGTAGGTGCGGTGTAAGTAGTGGGCAACCTAACGACTAGCGCGTGTGGCTCGCGCGCGTTAGAATCATACGCCGATGGAAGAACTTGCCCAATCAGTTTGAACTTATTACTCACGTAAATGTTTGGCGGTCAACGTGAACACAAGATTGCTACGGCCACCACGCCCGCACCTGCGCCCTTACCCGTGCCTTCAACGTGAACAAACACTTACTTGGCCACGAAGCGCGCCGACAGCCGACTCAGTAGAGGCGACAAATGATGACATTCCTGTTACTATAACAAATAGCCCCCTGTTTCAAAGCATTCGTTTTGTCCCGTTACTTTTGACATTGCTCTTCTTATTCATTTTTAACTAAGATCTTGAATAGTCTGTAAGAAACTCGTGGTTTCACGTTAATCTTTTCTTGCAAACAAGTAAGTAAAATATGCATGAAACTTGTTTATTTTATAGGATGACCTTGTCATCATTGTAGAATTACAAATTAAATTCCTATACTTTAATGCAGATACTCAATACTTTAATGAATAGGTAAATACGAAATAACAATTTAAATAAGTGTCTAGTTCAGTATTTACAAGAAATATTCACATTAAGGGATTCCGATGTGACGCCGACAACGACACTAGAAAAACACGCAGGGCAATATTTTAGTGCCGCGCGGTTGCGTGACTTGAACATATATACCGATGAGATTTTAGTAATGAATCGTCCACTCCACTTGGTTACATGCGGAACATTCCTTATAATTAGGCTCTGTCGACTGCTGGAATACCTTCACCTTTATCTTATAATTGGAATATATGTATGTTTATTATGAATGCTCTGAAAAAGGAATTGAAGGTAATTTCTATAATAGTTTTATCGAATAATTCCGTACAAAAGAAAGGGAGTAGAAAGTGTAATGTTCAGATGGAGGACTATTTGATTACAAGTTAGTATTATTATTA